TTGATTTCTCTCGGTAGGAACAAAGCATATTAGGTGTTACTGGTAGAAGCGTTGTCAAACACTGAATACCTGTATCATCCTCATTGGTGAGACCGTCGTGATCTGGTACACCTAATTGCAACTGTGAGTCTGTTCCTTTTTGGGATTTTCATATATCATTACCTTATTTTTTTTAAACATTGTGATTTTTTTTCGTGTATCTTCTTGGATATAAATATATTTTCCTCTCGTTCATTATCGTACTTCATATTTCATCATGGCTGAACAGACACCCAAAGTGCTCAAGCTTAAGACTTTGTCCCCGCCTTCGTTTCAACTCATGCATTTCTGGCCCGACAATATCGAAGCCTGGTTCTGCTACGCAGAAGCTGACTTCTCCGAGCACGGCGTGATCGACACACGTGCACAATTCCTCGCAGTAGTCAAGGCACTACCGCGCGAATTCAACAGGTACGTAACACCTAGTATGTTTACTAGTGATGTTTCCGAACCTTACGAAATCCTAAAACGTTCGATTTTTAAACGATGAGACCTAACCGATCGACAAAGGTAAGATCAACTCTTCAATAACGTCGACCTGCAACACGGTTCTGCGACGGACATGTTGCAACGAATGAGAGAAGTGATAGGCCTAAGAACTTTCGACGAAGGCCTATTTAAACAACTTTTCTTGTCTAAACTTCCTCAACAGGTGCAAGCGGTTCTGGTCTCGTTTCAGAACAACGCCTTAGACGAGCTAGCTGCATCTGCAGATCGTATTTTAGAAATAACGAAATCGTCTACTACAGAAGTATTTTCAGTCAAAGAAAAGCCTCATACGACTCAGAATGACATAACCGAGTTATGTCATACACTCACGCGTTATCTTAATCTTCGTAACGACCGTAAGCGCTCACAGAAAACCCTGCAATTTTCCCAACACGAAAACGACTGACTCGAAAAACAACTCGGGAAACTTCCAAGCCGGCACGCGTTAACGGCAACCATGGCCGGCGAACATAGCCGTCTGTTGTACGTCACAGATGTGACAACGATAGTTCGCTACCTCGTCGACACTGGCGCAGAAATTAGCGTTCTCCCAGCATATCCTAACGACCGGCTTCACGAATCGGCCCTAAACTTACAGGCGGCAAACGGAAAACCGATCGCTACGTATGGCGAAAGGTACGTTTACCTTAACGTGGGTTCACGCAAAACCATTCATTGGATTTTCGTTGTTGCAGATGTTTCTATGCCAATTACTGGTATGGATCTTCTACAACACCATAATTTAATCATCGACACGCGCAAACGGAGGCTAGTAGATGGAAACACTAATTCATCCGTTTGCGTAACTTCTTTTTCTGGTTGTAGATTATCCCCAGTCACAGTTAAGCATGTGATAGACCCACTCTATCAACCACTACTCGATAAGTACCCTGGGATACAACAAACTCAACCGAAACTACTGCGTGTAACCAGCAATATTACACATCACATCACGACTACTGGACCACCTGTATTCTCTAAAGCACGACGACCAGCTCCTGAAAAGCTAAGGTTGGCGAAAAACGAATTCGATCACATGATAGATTTAGGAATCATACGACCGTCAAACAGCCCTTATGCATTTCCGTTGCACATGGTCCCTAAAAAGGACATCAACAATTGGAGTCTAACTTGTGACTATCGGCGATTGAATGCAAAAACCATTCCCGATCGTTACCTTTTGCCTCACATTCACGATTTGACAGCTACTTTGAAAGGTACAATTGTCTTTTCGAAAATCGACTTGGTTAAAGCGTATAACCAAATCCCTATGGCTACTGACGACATACCGAAAACAGCTATCATAACTCCCTTCGGACTCTATGAATTTTCGCGAATGCCTTTCGGTCTAAGAAACGCTGTGCAAACATTCCAAAGATTCATAGACGACGTTTTTCGAGGTCTCAACTTCGTACATGCGTATGTTGACGACTGCCTAATCGCAAGTCCGGACAGAGAATCACATCTCAAGCATCTGGATCTTGTTTTCGAATGATTACAAAAACATGGCATTACTGTAAACGCTCAGAAATGCCAAATCGGGACAGACTCGTTAGATTTCCTAGGACACACTATCGATGCTCAAGGCATTCGACCCCTTAGGACCAAAGTGGCGGCCATTCTGGATTACCCAGAACCGACCAACGTCAAGCAATTACACACGTTTAACGGCCTGGTAAGTTTCTATAGACGCTTCATACCGAAATGCGCATTACTTATGAAACCTCTTACCGACCAACTTCGTGGAAATGCAAAATCCATTAATTTGGACGACACCACACGAAAAGCATTCTCCACAATTAAGGAACTCATCGCTAAAGCAACAATGCTCGCACATCAGGACACTGAAGCACCCATTAGTATCGCAGTAGACGCATCCGACTCGGCAATCGGAGGAGTCTTACAACAATGGGTTGACAACTCCTGGCAACCCTTGGCATTTTTCTCTAGAAGGTTGCTAGACATCGAATCAAGGTACAGAACATTCAGTAGGAAACTCCTAGCTATGTATTGTGCTGTACGGCATTTCCAACATTATATCGATGGTCTTGAATTCACTCTTTTCACTGACCATAAACCACTCACCTTCTCTCTAAGTTCTACTTCAGACGAGTACTCTCCCCGTGAGTCTCGACAACTAGACTACATTTCGCAGTTTACTTCAGATATTCAACATATTTCTGGAGCAAACAATGTAGTTGCAGACGCCTTGTCTCGCATAAATTCCTTGAAAAGTTTCCAAGGAATCGACCTTCTTAAACTCGCCCAGCTTCAGAAAGAAGACACTAATCTTCAGCAAGAGTTATCGTCCACAACCCTTAAACTACGCATCAAACAGATGGGAACAAGTAAGGAAACCTTACTTTGTGACACATCTACAGGTAGGGATCGCCCAATCGTCTCGAAACATTATCGACGCAATGTCTTCAACACATTGCACAAACTTTCTCATCCAGGTGTTCGTGCAACCATCAAGCTTATAGCAGAACGGTTTTGCTGGCCTGGTATGAATAAAGACGTGAGGGAGTGGGCATGCTCCTGTGTAAGCTGCCAAAAAGCTGAGGTTATCAGACACAATAAATGTCCCTTAGGCTCATTTAAAACTGCCGATGCTCGTTTCGACCATGTTCATCTGGATTTGGTAGGACCTTTACCAGATTCAAATGGATACTCTTACCTCTTAACCTGTGTAGATCGTTTCACTCGATGGCCAGAAGCAGTACCTATCAAGGGCATCACTGCTGAAACAGTGGCCCGAACCTTCGTCGAATGATGGGTAGCAAACTTCACTACAGACCGCGGACGTCAGTTTGAGTCTGAACTTTTCCGTTGTCTGACCACACTATTAGGAAGCACTCTCTTCCGAACGACCGCCTACCAACCACAAGCGAACGGGTTGGTAGAACGTTTTCACCGACAACTAAAAGCCTCACTATCAGCTGCAAACGTTTCACAGTGGACCGACGCTCTTCCACTCGTCTTACTAGGTATCCGCAATGCAGTGAAAGCTGACATTGAATACACTGCGGCTCAACTCGTTTATGGAACGACACTTCGACTTCCAGGAGAATTCGTGGATCCTTCATCCTCTTCAATGAGCATGGATCTAACCTCCTACACGAACAGGCTTACAAACGCAATGCGTTCAGTTAAACCTGCTTCCACTCGACCACAATCAACTGATGTTTTCGTTCAACCTGACTTACGATATAGTACACACGTTTTCGTTCGTCGAGACTCGCATCGACGACCTTTCGAATCAGCATACGAAGGACCTTTCAAAGTTCTTGAATGCGAACCGAAGTACTATATATTTTTAACGCTATTACGTGTTCATGAGTTTATTTTCCTTTTTTACGCACATACTAGTGTATTTTTGACATGCACTTACTTTTTCTTTTTTCTTTTCCAGGACGGCAGGAGAAGAACGATTACGTTTATGAAGATCCGAAATTTTCATTGTACTTTTCTTTTTTTACTATGTTGTACCTCGGTCCCATATAGTAAGGAAAGACGACCAAACGCTACTAAATTTAGTAAGCTATCAGAAGAGTGTTTTCCAACGACAAACTCGTTGGGTTTAAACTTCTGGCTGGCCACGTCTTAGGGTCATCACTGCCCCACTAGAGGAGGGGAGTGATCTGTAGCGGTAAATAAATCCCCAAACTAAATAGCTCTGTAGGTTTTCGACATTGGATGCTGACCATATGTTTTAGTGGACTCATCTAGCTGAAGGCGCTCGGTCATGCATCCGCACCAGATCACGTGTGGTAACGCTGTGCTCAACATCTACCGCAATCGCTAGCCAGATTAGATCAGAGATTCCCGATATATTGGTTATCGCCAAATATACTCTTCCGATCTCCTCGACTCTGTCTTTTGATTTCTCTCGGTAGGAACAAAGCATATTAGGTGTTACTGGTAGAAGCGTTGTCAAACACTGAATACCTGTATCATCCTCAAGCGTTTAGGATTCTTCCAAGTGGGAATTACGACATGAAGGTGGAAATAGCACCTTTGGCGCAAAAACAAAGTACAAACATGTTTATTTAGGTTGTCGACTATGAATAATTAAACCTATATAGCCCCAAAGAGACTAGAAGCCAATAAGATTTACCCAAAAAGAAATAAACGATATTTCTCCCACATTGAAGACTACAGTCATTTAGAAATCAAAATGTGGTTTACAGCACAACTACCAGAACTGGACTTAACTTGAAATCTTTCTCCATTATTCCCTGACTGTATAATTCAAAATAACCACGAGTATTATTAAGCTTTCTATAACTTGACGGAATCATCCCAGCTTATAATACACTTGCCCAATGTAATACAGCACAACAAGTTGAATAAAACTCACAGTCACAGTAAAATTCGCAAAATTCAACAAAAACTACATCATCATAAATTCATTATATACATGACTGTTGTCCCGGTCAATGATACACTTAGTTGATGTGATAATGTTGATCACATTTAATTTTCCGCCGACGTTTGTTTATTTCGACCAACCTTAGTTTATCTTGTGATTAGTAATCAGTAGTCACAGTAAATCAAAAGGTTCCATCTGAAGTGAAATTCTATTTTCTGATTTCTCCATAGTTCGCGCATGATGTTAAGACATACTCTATCGCGGTGCATCAAATCAATAGTAAGGCGTTACAGGTTCTTTGCCAACCAGGTGCTGAGGGTTCAGTAAGTTCACAATCTGTTGTATCACTGCACAAAATTCACTCTTCGATGTGACTAATATATGAATCCTGTGTTTTAGGCGATTCATAAATGAACGGAAATTACTACGCTCTGAAATGTTTTTTGGACGTCATGTTGGTGAACATAATTTTCAGGGTTGTGAAATGGTAGGTGAGTCGAGTTATCAACATAGGAATTTGCCAAACAACCGCTCTAAGCGTGACGTAGATATCGACTGTGACTCCAATACCTGTGTGCGTCAAGCTAAGCGTCCACGGCGATCTGACTCGACCTCATCGCATAAAGAGAACAATGGCCTCTGTTCGGCACCGAAACACAGTTCCCTATCTAGGTCTACAGTACTTCCATTAAGGAGCATCCATCCAATGAATACAATCAATGAATCCACAAATGTCTCAACACTTGTTCAAAGACCTAAAGTACCTGGAGATTCAATTGAAACTACTACTCGGCTGACACGTTCATGTGGTAACAAAACAAACCCAGTTGCCATCCAGAAACGTACTTTGCGAAGCACTCACCGACGCAGCACTCAAACTACTCAGGATGCAATGTTACGGGTTAGGCTGGAACGTTTCCCCGTTCAGTCTTGTTCTTGTATACAGTCTGACTCAGTCGTCTGTTCGCATAGTAGCAGTTTGGCGAATGGGTCACAGACAGAAACAAAAGCTTCAAAAAAATTGCTACTCTTTTACCCTCCAAAAAGGTTTAATTTAGCTAGAAAAGATCAGGCAGTTAAGCTAAAGCGACTAAACGGAAGGCACATGGATTTCGACGTTCAAGAATTAGGCCAGTCTTTTGGCTGTGATCTTTCTTCTGTATCCTCCGATTCACTACTTGTAAGTAAGAGCTTTATTTATCTAGTTTAAAATGTCCGTTATCGATGTTATATGAGTGGTCAATAGCGTAGCCTAGTTACTGTATGTTAATTTCCACTTTGCAGTGACGCTTCAAGATTCATATCAGCTATTTGTCTTAAAACAGAAAGTTTACAGGTCTACGTAATTCAGCATTTTCACTTTGTATTCACTCTAACTGTATTTTTATACTTTATGACAATTGATAATTTTAGTGGATTATAAGCTTCTTGAATTAGCTACTTTTCCTTAATGATTTCTAATTTTCAGAATCAATCTGTAGTGGGTGATCCCCTGGAAAAATTATTGCGGTTATGCGGCCAAACTATGATCAAGTCATTCGATGAATATTTTGATCACACGTATGATACTCACTTATAAGATCATAATTTTGTTCATAGAATAATTGAAAGTATGGTGAAAATTGGCGAGGGTGTATATGGTGAAGTATTTCAGTCACCGAAAGGCAATGTGGTCAAAATCTTCCCTGTGGATGGAGAAGATCTTGTCAATGGTGAGAAGCAAATGAAGTTTGGAGAAGTTTATCCTGAAGTGTTCGTATCGCAGTAAGTTCAAGGTGTTTATTTTGAATCATCATTAGGAGGTTAAGTGAGCTTGCATACAAGTATCGACGTGACCGGTCAGTCAATTTTGCTCAGCTAAAGAGGTAAATATTTGTACACCATCTCACTTAATTTCCAGAGCAACTGTTGTTCGAGGAAAACTACCTAAGGCTTTAGTTTCAAGTTGGAGGAAATATGAAAACCAACGGGGTTCAGACAACGAATGTCTGGACTTCTTACCTGCTAAACAACAATGGATGGTTTTAGAGTCTGAATTTGCTGGACAACCACTTTCCAATGTACGAGTAAGTATCATTACATGGAATTTGCGAGGTTGCGTAATTGTAGTAACACATACGTCAACTGTATACTAAGTCCATTTATTTAGGATTTTTATACGGCTGTCAGCTATACTTCTTGTCTCCAAATCTGGCCATTTTCTAATCTCAGACCACCAGATTTTCTGTTTGTAACTTCTGTGACTCGGGGTATTTGTGTACTACCATCTTACCCGCCGACTCAATGTTAGGTTTTATTTTGAGTAATCTACCAAAGAGAGGAGTTATGATCTATAGTGTTTCTAATTCGCTGACTAGAAAAACCCACTTCACAGTACCGGTTACTAAATAGCGTTATGGAATATACTAATCGTACTATCTCACCATTTAATGCCCACTAATAATCTTACCATAAATTTTTATCTTACCAAAGCACCATTAACCGTCAGCACAAACATCTGTTACTCATAGAGCATAGACCACTGACCAGAAATCTCCAACCTACTTTGTTCTGGGATCTCAGTCGTTTCCAAATGCTATTCATTATTTTGATGTGTCTCTAATTCTCGACAGAGTATTTTATTTGATATCCGTTCCCTTTTGCCCTAAGGATCCCAAGTTAGGACTTGCTGTGTGATGCAGTTTGACAATTTCCATAGTATGGTCTATCTAGCCCCGACGTCTTTTCCTAACTTCCTCTTCAGTTAGAAGCTGGTTTTCTGCTTGAGTGAGGTTATTGCTGATGTTTGCTCAATGGATATGGAGTTTGTTGCACGGAAAGCTGTATATAAATATCTGTACCTTTTGGGTGATAGTTGTAGTACTTCACGTTTCATCTCCGTACAGTAGAACTATCTTGACGTTTGTATTAAACATTCTGACTTGGGTGTTGTCTGACCGTTGTTTTGAGTTCCAAACGTTCTTCAATTGTAGGGATGCTTCCCTTGCTATGTCAATTTATGCATTCGTATCTCCACCAGGTCCCCCGCTTTTGTCAATAATGCTGCCAGGTACATAACAGTTTCGATCTCTTCCAGAGCTTCTCCCTCAATTGTGATTTGTTTGGCGCTTGTAGTGTTGTGTTTCAGGATCTTTCTTTCTCTTTTGTGAATGCTGAAACCTAGTGCTGCAGGGGCTGTTGCTACACTGGCTGTCTTCACTTGGACCGGTTGCTCTGTATGGAGTAGAAAAACTAGAACATCTACAGAACCAGTCATTTAGCTACATCCAAGCTTTCAACTGAGATGTGGACGTTTTCACAATCCAGTCATTTACCAAAACAAAAAGGAGAAAGTAAACAACTTTGTCTGACACTGGTCTTCACTTGGAATGCATCTGTTAGTTGCCTTCTATGCAGGACTTTGCATTGTAGTCTGTCGTAAGAACTCCGTATGAGAATGACCATCTTTGGTACACCAGTGTCGAAGAGGATTCCATAATGTTCTCTTATCTGCCCTGTCAAATGCTTTTTCTTAGTCAAGGAAGTTGATGTTTAGTGATTAGTTCCATTCGATTGACTATTCGACACTGATCCGTTGTGTCTCGACTTTTTCGGTACATGGTTGATCCGTATTAAAATTGATCGTCCACTGGATTTTTCATTCGGTTCAACAACACTTCGTTGAAGATTTTGTTTGGTACTAGCATTAGTGTTATGCCTCTGTAGCTCCACTCAACCGGGTCTCCTTTCTTTGATTTCCTGAGGTATCTCTCTTTGTAGTCTGTCGGTGTTTTTCATCCCACTAAAATCTTTCTGGAGAAATCATGAAGCATCTTTGCAGTTACCTCTGTATCTGCCTCCAGTGTTTCAGCTGGTATGCTTTCAGGTTTTGATGCTTCCCCTGTCTTGATTTATTTGATGGACATGCTGGTTTCTCCAATTGTTCATGGAGTGACATCTACAGGAAGGTCTGCAGGTGCTGCCTTGATGTCCGATGAGGTTTCGATAGAGATCCATTCCTTATGAGGATCCTAGGTGTGATCCAGAGCCTCCAGGCATGTTGAAGTTAGTGCTTCTTCAATCCATTTTCGTTTGTTCTCCATAGTAGTTTCCTTTCATTTAGGTAGACTTTGTAAGGTCTCGGACTTATTTCTGAGAGCTATTTTGGATTCTCTGAGTTTGTTGGTATCTCTAAAGAAAGCTATACTAGACGTTTGTTATGGTCTCTGTCCAGTGCTTTTTTAGCTTCAGTTTCAGCTTGGCCACCACCCGGTGGTGATCTGAGGCTATATCAACTCCTTTCTTTATTATGTCTTCCATGAACCTTCTGATGCAAATGTGATCGACCAGATTCTCTCTAGTGTGGTCCAGTGAGACCTATAGACATTTTGCTAAAATCACAGATTTGCAAATCCCTCGCCATTTTGTTTCTATTTCCTAGTCAACGTCGTCCCATGATATCCATATATGATGTCCATTCCGACGTTGGCGATTAGGTCTCCCATCAGTATGGTCATGTCCTTCTCTAGGTACCTCTACAATCGACTGCAGTCTCATTAAACTGATGTTTATCGCCCTCACTGCTATCGTTAGTGGCCCATAGCACCAAATGATATTCATTGTAATCTGTTCTTTCTTTTTTTGAAGGATGATTCGAGGATCATGGATCCATGACATTCGCATCCCATAGGTGCTTTCCGCACTTCTTTGGAGAGAATCGGCGCAACTTCTTATGTATGCGAGGCGTTTTCTTCATAACCAGAATACAACAGGACCTTTCCCGCAGCTTACATGAAATGAGTTTTACTTGTTTCAAGAGTCAACAGGTTATATCTTATCATTTCTGCCGCTACTAGAATGATCCTCCCGGTCTCCTACATTGTGCGGAGATCCTATGTACCTATATTACCTGTTGCTCTGGTTGTCAGGAGCGGCATCGGCCTCGTGTTTTTTTAAGAATCTCGGCTATCACTATGAGGTGTCATAACTCTTCGAAATGAAGAACTTTCAACTCCTAAGGAAAAGTTTAGATGGTGAAACTGATTTTCTCTGGTTAGCGTTTTTTGAGCAAGGTTCTTTTCTGCGAGATGGGGTTTCTAGCCCCATACACAGTCCTTTATCTGGGCTTAGAACTGGCAGTAAATTTAGTAAGGCTCCAAACGAAGTTGTTGACACAAAGTGAAAAAAGGTTAGAAGAACCAAAATAATTTTAGTAGACTTCATTTTCTTTGGTAATCACTAATCCCAATTTGAGGACCGACTTTCTCGTTTTCACAGTCTCAAATCTCAATGATTTACATTTATTTAGAAACTTGTACCATAGTTTACTTACCACTGCTATTTATATGTTTCTTAAAGCTGAGTGAAAATATTTGTCTTGTGGTTACATATGCAGTTTGATCTCGACATCAATAGGTAAACAATATTCTTGACTGGAAACTAGTGTGTTTGGACAGTATCCTGGGAATTAGGAGTTTTGATTGAAACAGGTGTTGTATATGTTAGTGCAGATCTCGTCAGTAATTTAATTTAGTGGTAATTCGGATATTACTTGTGTTATACGCAGAATCTTTCATCACATCAGTATTATCACATATAGACATGAAAAATGTACTCCCAGCTGTTATTTGTGTATACTCAGTTGATCTTAGTGATTTTAGTACTATATGCTTTTCATCGATGTTACATTTATGTGTTTATGAAGTTCAACACTTATCGTGAAGCTCGTTCTGTGATTGAGCAGATAGCATTGTCCTTGGCTGCCGCTGAATCTGCTCTTCAGTTTGAACATAGAGACTTACATTGGCGTAATGTATTGGTCCGACCTACTAGACAATTGAAACTGCGCTATCGTGTTGGGGGAGTGAGTTATGCCGTCTTCACTGAAGGAATACAGGTTACAATAATTGATTTCACAGTATCCCGTCTTTGTCATGGTACGGATTATTTTTTACATATCTCTCGATACGCATATAGAATGTTTTGTTCTATTCACTATTATACTTGAATTACTATCAAAGGGTTTTTTGTATCTTATTTACTCCAGGTAGTACCTAGTCCATTTTAATGAGTATTTTTATATCATTTGAATGTTTTTAATAGCTATAGTATTTATTTATTTGAACATATATTGATACAAAAGAAAGTCAGGTTGCAAAGAAATAAACGAAGGAAGATGAGTATAATAAAGATAAAAACAATAAGTGAATAGAGCAAAGAATTATGGGAAAAGCAGTTCTGCTAGGACGAGTACAACCAGGTAAAATTCTCTCAGTACAAGGTCCTCTCACTTATATGGAGAAAGTAAAGGAAATAACAGTAGGATCACCACTGACCGTTATGAGTCATGCCTGATAACATGTCAAGCCAATTGTGTTGCACTCTAGGACCTCAACCAAAAAGTCGTAAATAACCGACAGACACTAGTCCTGTACAACTTCTTTTCACAGCATGTGACTATCATAACCCGACTAAACAGGTTAGTTTGGATGAGACACATGGTTTCAGGAAGGCTTATTCGAAATTCGTATTCAGTGGTAGCATTCAACTGTCGACCAGTTGGTGACCTGATATCGTTTAGATAGGAAAGGAATACACGAAATGGGAATGAAAGTAAATAGATAAGTGATGGAATATAAAATAAAAATTAATGCTACTAAATAGTTGAATATAAATTATGGGAGTATTTCCTTAAGTCGTAGTCATCATCCACGAGACAGTTGAGCAACGTCAGAAGATACTGTGATTTGTGGTTTGGAGTCAGACTTTTCCAACTCCCGTAGATGTCTACTGCAATATTAACCCGTCTGGTTCAAGCACCGAACAGTCACCTTCCATCCTCTCACTTTTTCAGTGAACACTCCAGTCACGAGAAGGCATTGAGTAGAACCTACCTACCAGTCACCGTATGATAGTATTTCGTGAGGAGAAGCGAACGTCCTCCACCCTCGGCCGTCCCAGGGCATTTGGGGGAAAAGCCGTGGGTGAACCCTGGTCCCGCCCAGCTATCGACGCGATTCTAGACAGAATTTTACACGCCACTTTACTATTAAAGTAAAATACTGGATAAACTCAAACAACAGTGAGGACTAGAGATAAAACAAAACGTAGATGCTGATTCTCGCGGATCACATGGAACTTGTTCTTAATGTATGATTTTTCACCAAATAGAATTCAAAGTTAATCCATATAAAGATCAAGTCATACTAGCTACAGTAGTGAAAAACTAGTAATGTATTCTGTACTAAGATGGATTTCGTTGTAACCGTTTGTTACTTTTCAGGGTTTCACAAGTTGACTCATTCACTAAGCACACTAAGTGTGAGGGTTAATCATACTACCGTATTGCCCAAACCTAAGTAGGTGGTGAGGGTTCCGAATCTGATACTTATTGTTTTACATACTATTTAATTATTCAAGAACTAGGATAGTCATTAGGCAGTTCGTTGGGTTGACTTGAGAATGTTAATATACATAAATATTATTATGGCGAAATTTAAAACAACAATCTGGTAGGAAATATAGTCCTTTGATCTTATTACTAGTTCACTTAAAGCTTAAATGGTTTGACTCTATTGGAGGTAGTGATAATACTGAAATAACCGTATGATGTACATATTATCTAACTTTTTCGCATTCTTAATCCCATTAGTAGTACTAAGCGGTATTTAGTCTCTGAAAAAATGACTAAAGTTTCGCAAATGCGTTCCACTTAGTTATATTTCTCACGTTTAACATTGAATCTTGCTAACTATTGTTGTGAGTTGATATTTTTATTGTTGTATGCATTCAGTACAAAATATTACCACAGTCGATTGTTTCTAAAAATCTCATACTCCGGGATTCGACCTTTTGGATTGTTAAAAGTTATTTATTAAATTAGAAGCAGTGAGTTTCCTTTGACCGGAAACAAATACGGAGGCAGATTTCCAATGGGATGTTTTCTTTTGGAACCGTGAATATTTACCATCGATTATTTTCGAATATTCGACATTTCAAGATCACAAAACAGTTTCTTATTAGTGATCAGACGGCATTATATGGGCCACCCGGCTTCAATTTAGCATTTACATTACTTCCTTTTTTCTTGGTAGCCTAAAGAGAAATTACATCGCTTCTCATGTACTTCTGATTTTTTTAATTTTTAGAAGGCAACATTGTTTACGTTGATATGTCAGAGTCACCAGAAATTTTTGAGTGTGAAGGGGATTATCAATTTGACATTTACCGTATAATGCGCAAAAACAATGGGTATGCTATAAGTGACATTTGTTTTCATACGTTTTTCTATAAGATAATCATTTCGTCGTATATTTACATGCATAACTTCTCAGAATTAGTGGGCATTTAAGCTTCGTAATACTTTCTTAGTATCCAGTGATCGTAACCATTAACGCATTTGTTACAATTGGATGAGAACTCCACCCCGCGATACGTCTATTTATAATCTTTCAGAAGTCATAAGTTAGTGAAAACAGACTAGTTATAAACCATTTGATTTGGGAGCTATACACTGAACCTGTACTAAAAACTGTAGTCCTAATGATCCATAAATTTGTTACGACTAGATACTGTTTCCAAGTTACGTCTTACATTTATCGATGTCTCATATCTTGAAATTCACCGTACATATGGTGAACACAAAATATTTCAAACATAACAGAAAAGATTAGGTATTAGAAAAGTGAAGATTCTGTGATTCAGCGTCTAAAGGGGATACAAAGAGTTGATACACTTGGGCCATTACGAACAATTCTGAGCCATGTCACTCGGAGTCTGCACTTAAGTCAGTCCGATTATCAACGGCTTAATGAAATAGTTCCACGTTAAGGTAAGTAATAGTTGAACACATGTCCCAACCACGTCAGTTGATGAAGATTTACTACCTCTTTAATCGATTTGCCATCCTCACCTGGTATCATATTCCCAAGCCAGGAATCGTCTACTCAGTGGTCCCGAAATACACGGACAATACTTCACAGACACCTATGGTCGAATACCCGCAACCTACGAAGATCTATTCTTAATGGCCATGTTTCACACTCATAAAGTAGAACGAAGCAAACTACTGCACTATAAACTGGTTCTTTGGTTAGCAAACGAATACCTTGCCTACTCCACTAGTGGTGCAAGTTGGCTAAGACCAATCGAGCTCCCTGAATTGTACCATAATTTTGTCAGACACCAGACCATCAGGAACAATGAAATTCCCAAGATAATTGAAGTGGTCGATGTATTCAACCACTTCACTTTTTATCATAAGTTTAGGCGCTGATGCAGGTCAATACTAAAGCAACATTATGCATTTTGAAGGTGAGATTCTCATCTCAAACATGCTTGCATTGTTGTTTAGTGGTCAAAAGACTGCGTTTTGTCAGTGTCTCCACCAAGTAGAACTATATCGTCCGTGCATTTTAAGTCAACAAGTGAATCTTTTAGTAGAAGATCGACCTTTGGGAAGTCTGACAATGAGCGCGTTAACTCTAAAGGGATGTATGTGACAAAGTTGAATAAAAGTGGAGAAAACAGACAACCCTGAACACTTGAAGTTATCAACTCCGATAACAGTTCCCCATAGATTTCGACTCGACCAGTAGTGTTAGAGTAGAGAACCTGTACAAGGTTGCAGTTACAGTTATAACTTTTCCTCATTATCATAATACTAAATGTCTTATTTATTTTGTATTACAGGAATGATTGGCGCCCCTTTCATCCAAGTTCCAATCTTTATTGGCTTCATTATCTTATGGGGAAACTCTTAAACGAAACATCTTATCCCAGACGTGATCCTGATTCCCAACCTGTGGAATCTGAACTGCGCGCATTATATAACGTGATACTATCAGGTGATTATAATTCTATCACACAACTTGTGAGCTCAAGTTTGTACTTCGATGCTTGTCGAATCGGTTAACAGGGACTCGACGAACTTCCCAAAACGTCTGAAATCGTCCCTACTTAGATTTTTTCCGCCTTCTAATCTTTCATATGAAACTCTACCCTTTTGTTTTGATAAATGATATGTTTAAGATAGAACTCTTCCCATTCACATTGAGGAACGTTAGCTTTTTGAGAACTTGTATCATGAAGTTCGATAATCTTAAAGCAATTTTCCCGGTCTCTTGACATTTGTTCTGTTTGTGGTTATTTTTTAGAGATCCCGTTTCGAAACCGCTTTTGTATGATCAAATATTGATTTGCCAGGTTAATTATCGTTTGTTTACGAATGTTAGCGCTTCCGCTGGGTTTCGTTTATCATGCCACAACTGGATATTTTCTTTGGCGGCTTTTCACTCTGACCTTATGGAACGGCACATATTATTTTCTTGCTATTACTTTAGTAACTACTTGAAGTTAACCAACTACTTGTGCTTCCTTAAAATACAGCAGATCAATAGATGCGTACAACGCCCACTGAACCCAAATTTTAGTCAAAATTTTTCCTATGTACCAAGAGCACCACACGGTGCCTATCGTATCAGGAAGAGGGTTCCACAATGTGGGACGACTGAACCATACAAACTAACCTAAAGACCTAGAAGTAGCAGTCCAGCCTATAGTAATGCTGAACATAGAGAACATTGCAAAATTGGTGTATGTCATTTGAAAACGTCTACTCCGATTGGAACCGAAGGTGGACGACACTGAACTCTGTACACGGTCAAGACGTCGACAAATGTTATTGGTCAGCGTCTTGTCAGTTCCAGGTTGTTTCACTGAACCAGACTTCTAGCTGCCAGTAAATTGGATTAGTTTAAAGAGTTTACGGTAGTTATGATACATAGGTGGTGCTCCCGGTTCGTTAGCATACTCCTCGCGATCAGCGGAGGTATGCTGATGTGCCATGACAAGTTGTAAGGAGCTAATCGGCAAGCAACTTTTCTGACCATTTCCATGAGGCCGTACAAATGTAGTCAGAGGACATCTACACTTTCTGGTGGGTTGATATCTAGCCTCCAACTTGTCCCAGTTTGATATTCGATTGCAATAGGAGCTTCGGTCGACTCGTTTACATCTATATACTTGGAACGACGACTCTGTTGACCACTGAAGCGTAAAATACGATTAGCACAAACGAGGGATGGTCCGAGTCCATGTAAGTACTCTATGAAGTGCCAACCACAACCACGCTAGCGGTCAGTGAGTCCAGGCTCGACATGCAGAGAAGAACGACAGCGATGATTGCGCCAGAAATAGGCTGTAGTCTGTAAAGTTGCAGTAGACCAACAAGTCGCTAATAGGCAGCCAAGCGACTCTCCTCGGTTTTTAGACGTTTGATCCGTACATTCGAATTTGTCAAAACTACAATATCTGTCGAATGTGCTTTCTGGAGATTACTTAACTGGTGGTAGAAGTAATCCTTGATAGCATTAGGGTTCCAATCTGTCGAGGTGTAGGCAATAACGAGAATAAACTCACTTCGATGGAGCTTCCTAATCCAGCGACACAAACGACCACTGATAGGGTTTCAGCCCTAGCGTTTAGTGCGACAGCAAAACCAGACGGAGACGCCACATGATCCCCGAGCGAATGTACATGAAACAAGCTCTGGGAATCCGCAAACGAAATAGTGAGTATATACTTTAACAGATTTGAGTAAGTTTCAGGCTACAAACATCGATTTTAAGGTGTTCTAAAGACATAACCAATCTCCCCTGTTGTTCGATATGCAATTAATTTGAGAATATTGAAAGAGGTCAGTTCGGACGATACAATGAGTTTCAGGAAGGCTGACCCGTAATCAGTGGTAGCTTCCGACCATAATCGAGCTGTGGGGTGAGATGAAGACTAGGAGAGTACGCAAGAGTGAAATGGAACAGAGGTATTCAGTACAGTAAGTTGTTGGACTATCAACTGCAAAGTAAGCATAATCCAAACACTAACTGCATAAACTTTCGTATCTGACCCATTTCTAATCTGATTTGAAGGCAGTGAAATCTAGACGCCAGTGGTGATATGTCATCAGATGTATTACAGGTTTGACACTTCAAAGCTCTTGGCTACAGATCCAACCAAGAGGACAATGAGACTGATAAAAGTAGTCTTTACAAATTATATCACGTCCCTAAATACGACCAACATCAACAAGTGGTCTAATCCTGTGGTATCCCATGAATTATTGGAATCAACTAGGTCTGTAAATGATACCAAAATTAATTCAAATGTTAGTAAAGTTAACGTTTTTTAAATGATCTCAAGCTGCCAATAAAAATGTTCCTACAATGGAGAATTCAATGATAGTGGATCTATGGTCTGCTGGATAAGCCATGCTATGGGAGATGCATACGAACATAAAACAGTGCGGTTATAAACGTATCAGGATAATTGGACCAGTGAATTCCATAGACCTTGTGATGACCATTTGATGTGAAACTAGTCATGAGCAACCTCAAACACTACGAGAACAAAATCTTAATCATCCGCACGCAATCTACTTCAACAAAATAGTGAGTAGTCCACCGTCGCTTTTCATCTTGGATCACCATGTCTAGTATTCAGATGAGACGAGACGCCGCGAGCATCACGACAAATATCAATGTATGTACCGACACAGAAAACCCTAGAATTATGACCAAACCTTAGAATTACTGAAGTGAAAGCATTCGAAAACACAACTCGTGTAGTTTTATTGTAATAAATTTTTCTACGGCAACCAAATGCTTAACTGAAAATTTAGGATAACAGAAAGTAAAAAAAAACAGTAGCATGAACTCAGTTAATAGTACATTTCGTACAATGAAGATGAGGCCCAGTTGGAAGCGGTGATAAAAGCTTATTAAAAATCAATCACAGGGGAGCTAAAAAGAAGGTTTTTGATATTATTCAGATGTGAAGTACATGCTAGAATAACAAGAGCGCATAAGAAAACGATCAGCTGTATTTTGTTTACCACTGATACAGTGAACACAAATGGAGTCTTCGATTAAACAGTACTTTGGAGCTTCCCAGATCCGACAGTAGAAATAAGCGAAAAGGAATCGGAGTTCATACTATAGCATTATCATGAATCCGGACGGCTTATTTATTAGGTCACGTTACTACGCCGGAAGAGCAAAAGCTTTGCCCTTAATAACTAAAAAGTCACGTGATTAGATAGTTACATACCTCTAGTTATGTACAAGTAGAAAAAATCGCAATATAGTAAAGTTTGCAAAACACCCGCAGAGATGGCTATCAAATCATAATAGTTCTGGACATAATACCGATATATCCAGTTGAGTATGTACAGACCACGGTAAGAACCAAGCGAAAATAAGTAGTGAGAAGTGATGGTTTCTGCTTCTCCAGTTTTGCTAATAAGAAACAATTGCGGCAGGATGGCAACTGATTCCAAATATATGGAGAAGGTCCACAACAACTATAATAAAGTTGAACACTATTTACTACAACTTGCTTCGATAACTTGAAAACGATGATTGACAATCAATGCCAATAGAGCGCACGGAACAATAAGGAACTCCAAACGAAACGTGTCATGATTTCCATCATATGTGGCCTTGAATCTAAAATATATTAAATACAATGTCGCATAAGATGAAAATATGAAGATGATCTTTGCGAGCGAATTGTATAGAGACACATAAGATGTCAGAAGATCAACATAACGTGTGGTGAATACAATAGCGAATGCAATTTGACTACGTCCTGACAGACCTGAAACGTAGCGTTGGTTGCGTTCATCGAACTGTACCTGCACAAGATCGTGTTTTCCAAATCTTCAGTAGTAAAATTATAATAGCTGCAAAATGTGAAGCATCTCCAAGAAACCGGAATATATTCATGATAACAGTAATCTGGTAAGCACAACGCCAGGTTAAACTCAACCAACGCTAAAATCAAGTTTTACAGAGATAGACTTGTTTAAACACATCTAGTATCCAACATCCAATACTTTTATGACGTGCTTGAATAAACCAATTTATTTTTTTTGAGCTCCCTTGTTGTTGTCTCAGCACGTTTTCGGGTCTTTGATAATCTCCGATGGGCTGTCATTTAGCCACAACATTGCACTGATTCTGGTCTGTTCGGGATAGGTTTAAACATACATACATAGAAAGTATAATTCACTATAGATTCTCTGCAGTCTGCCAAAGATCTGTTACTTTCCATACAAATACTGCATACGAAGTAACCTATATCTATTACTTAAACTTCAGGTGCCTTAACTCATCGCTTTCTGTCATCCTCTCTCAACGAGAAAGACCTTGGTAAGCTCTATGACATCGCGACACAAGGTTACTTTCACGATATCCGAGACAAGATGATGAGGCGTAATAGAAGAAAACAAGACCAGGTATGTAGTAATTTCAGGTGATGACCTCCCTACGGCTCTATAGTTACAGTCAACAATACTAACGAACATAACCGTAAGTTCAGCTTCAAGTATTTGGCTGTACCAAAGCATGTTATTGAGATATGGTTGTGACTTTTTTTATTTTTTTATTTTAGAATTCACGGGACGACTACCTTAATTCTCAATAGCTGTGCAATTGTTTTGATGTTCTACGTACATTTCAGTAAACATTTTTTTTCGAACAGCTTACTGTTTTACTTACATGGGAAACTGTAGAAGTGTAGAGAATGTGTGTTTGAGTTTCACTTAACTTTTGCTTAAATGCACATTCCTTATAAATAACACATCACCTGTTCCTTCTTTTGCAGATAATTTCAAATAACAATGAATTACCAATTGCATTGGATATGCAAAACAATCGATGCTTAAGCTTGTGCTCTACTGTTGTACAATAATACGCTTTTCTTTTTAAATAAAATTTTTAAAATATTTACCGCTTCTCCACTGCATTGCAGATATATTTTGGTCTGTTGTTGAAAATAAAGGCGAACATAGGAGACCTTTGGGGTTCTGTCGATGGATAGAAAATAGGAGGTAATGTGTGTATTTAGGCGAAAAGTAGACAATTAAGCGCATAAGTAGGCAATTCCGCAAAAATTTAGGCGAAAATGCGGCAATTCAGGGGATATTTAGGTGAAAGTTCTAAAATTCAGCGGATATTTAGGCGAAAATGCTACATTTCGGCGGATATTTAGGTGAAAATTCGAAAATTCAGCGGATATTTAGGCGATAAGTCGGTAATTTGTCGACGAGAGGGCGAAAAAGGGGAAATTCCGCATTATTTCCCCTGGACAGGCGAAAACGGCGACATTCTGGCGCGTTTTCTCCTTTATTTCCCCTTTCGCCACCAAAGCATTTACCCCTTTATTTCCCCTTTTCCCGCATTATTTCCCCCTTTTGGTTTGTCTGGGTTGTTGGTTAGTATATCTTGTAATCTGAGTATGTAAGTTCTTTTCAACTCAGTAGGGCTTCTAAGGCCAGCCGCTATCATTTCATCAGGTGAGAGATCTGTTGATTGTAGTGTAAACAATAATAAATAAAAATTCAAGTACAGAAGAGTGATGGTTAAAAAAGTAGATTAATTAATCAATTAATAATCCACATTGTGTGAACAGACATAATTGCAAAATCTATAGGTGAAGATGGATGATTGGAACAAAGGTAGGAATAAACTGATGCTGTTTGATTGTGATAACGGTAGGTTAGTTACGAGATGCACATCAGGTACAATTAGTCTAAGTAGGAAATAGCAATTCATGGATGAGTACATATTTGCCACGTCTGCTCTTAAAACTATCCTTTGAGAAGTGTTTGATCATCTCAGGGGGAGAACATTTCATGTAGTGGGAATTTATATTAGGAAAAAGTGGGAGTAGACCTGAACTTCTCCTCGTATAACGCAGTAGTAAGGTTTGGAAGGCATATTTGTGCACGGACAACTTGCCAGTGTGAGATCATCCACTATTCTTACATGGCTCAAATAGAATAATTTGAAGTGCTAGGGTCTACCTTCCTAGGGTCTGTTCACTACTCCCATCACCTACTTAGTTCCCCACCTCTGTACCTGGTCTACTTTTGTCATTTTAAATGGAAGAAGAACAATAAAGTTGTGGACTTCTAGGTGAGGTCTTGACTACGTCTAGGACATTAACAGAAATAATTCTGGGGGAGGATGTCAAGCCTCCTCCGAGTAATGTAAAGAGTAACATTTGCTCTGGCTTCATTTTTTTGATGAAGTTTGAGCTGAAGTGCAAGCTCTCCGGTTTTCAATCTTGGATCGTGCATCGTAGGGCCGGTTACAAGTAGATTACCACGGTATGTGTGAATTGTTCGCATTTTGTAGGGTTTAAACTTCGTAATATAATATTTTAATACGTTAAATTTGTTTCGAGGTCCTCTGTTAGCTCAGGCAAACCCAAATTTCTTCATATGGACCTCTGTGTCTCGGTATCGTCAAATGGTGTGTTGAGAAGTGGTCCTAAAATGACCCCCTGTGAAGCCCCTGATGTTGAGACCTTCTAGCTAACATGCAGCTAGATACGGAACATCTTTTTTAGGTAGTTTCGAAGCCACGAAAGGAATGAGTAGTTGAAGCCCTTCTCTGCGACCTTTGCTTTAAGAAGTGCATGTGGCACTGTGTAAAATGCCTTGATGATATCAAGAAATGTCCTGTGGACTGGTATCTCTTGTTTTCTACAGGTTTTCTAGCTTTTTCATACGAAAAGAAGGCTGGATGTCCAGGACCCTGGTTCTCTGATCCTGTGTTGGTCCTCATGATTGTGTTGTTTCTGTACATGTGTTACCTCACTAATCATATATCGGTCCTCTGATTACTTTCGATGGTACTAAATGTAATGCGGATAGTTTGTAGCAGTTTCGTTCTTCCTTGACTCCTTCCATGAAGAACTCATCGAAAGCAGACTGTTTCCATTATTTTTGAAGTTGCTATGACTTTAGAGATTCCCTGAACATGTCACAAACTAGTGGAATAATGGCTTTCTCGTACTACTATAGGACTACATGGTGGATGTGAATGGATGCAAAGATTTGAGTGTTTTTAGTACTTACCCGGGAGTCCGATGAATATGCTACGATACAGAAGTGCTAATCATTTAATAACGAAAGAGATTGTATCAAAACGACTAAAAGGGAAATTCTTCGTTCGGTTAAGAAGTGTTTAAAGTCTTCAGAAGTTATGTATTATCGAGTAAATGATCATCAGCTATCTATGTGGATTAAGTCAACGAATATTAGAAACTCTATCTTTCAAATTCTAGATGCCAATGATTTCGGTACACACAACTGAAATATTAATTAAATGCAATAACAAAAACCAAGTGAGTTTGTCTCGACTTCCATTATTGATTCTAATGCTAACGACTATATTCTACAGAATATAGAGTCTATATACCAAACAGCCATACGGATACCTTATGGAGCTACAGAAAAGACGCATAAGATATTACAGAAACCAAGTAGACTTTGAAGGTCGTGGTATTTGCGCTAACTGATGATTTCTTACGTAGATAATTCCACAGTTGGTTTGGTTTCTGATTCTCATGCTCTTGCTAGAACATGTTGATTTTAAGCGGTTTGTAGACACTGTGATAATTGTTGAGCGATATTTGTGATTCTTGTTGTATATTTGTTGAATGCTGTTGTGAAAAAGATGCAGACTTTCAGAGTTTCGATGATGATGTTAATATTGTTGCGTTATTGTCGATCGTATGAAATTCTGACCTGGGAAATTTATCGGATTCTTTAGAGTGGTTTGAGTGGTTAATAATTACTTAAAGGAATTCTTACTGTTACGCAAGACAAAAAAATGAATATATCAGTGTATTTATGTCAAAGGAAAGATTTATTAGGCGAACTCTCAAAGTTTGTAAGCTGTTTTAAACAAGAGTTTAGGTCCATATTCAGTGAAAAAATCGAGGATCTGTGAATCTCCCTGGAAGTCCAAGAGTATGCTGCGAACGAATTAGGGTCCAACTGGCGCTCTTCTCCATCCTGCCATAAATTCCTGGTGAGGCAGGTGGAAGTGCATTACTTCATGCATGTCAAGAGATAAGAACGTCTCCTTGATTCTAGAGGCAGCATGGCCACTCACTCATATATTTATTTATATTGGGAGAAGTATTGCTAAGCAATGAACTTGATAGTCCGTTAAAAAATCAGATGATGTAGGTTGTGTAGCATACTGAAGATGTGACGACAATGTTCTGTTTGAATTGGATCACCTCTGCCTCAATTTTCAATCTCTGTAGATCATGAGCGTTAAATTAAACCTTGTATTTATCAACCGGTTAATAAATAGTATCTCTTACTCTTCAGCATTCACCCTTTCGTTTTCTATCATATCATCCCCCAACCTGAACAATGAAAAGAATATTAAGTGAGTGCCGAGAGCTTACGCAAGCCTACATCGAAATTTCTTTGTTATTCGCCAATAAACTATGTGGAACAAATTCCCGGCAAGCGCAGTAACACTTTAAACCAGTCCAAAATTGTAGTTGATGATTTACTCTCTAAATGTTGTTTTTTCACCTATTAAATATCGGTGTGATTGCCAACGACTTATACAAACAAGGTCTGGTATTTACATAATCGGCTGTTAAATAAAATAGAACCTTGGAACTTCTGTTTACTCGCTTAATTATTTACCATTTCATTTTTTACTTGCAAGTATCTGAAATCTGTTTGTGTTCATACTTACTATTATTATTATGAATGGTGCCCAGACACATCAGATTTTTTTCGCTCTCTTCTTTCTACATAGATTTTGTTCCTGCTCATCCAGAGTTTTTAGCTAAAAACACACTATCTTGTATTAGACTTATATAAATGAGTTAAGTTTTCAGATGCATTTTTTCTCTACTATGTATATATAATCCATGCCAACTGATATTACACGATCATTTCTTGCAATCGATTAAGATATTACTGAATAAACCCTTATTCTACTACCAAATTGTATTATATTAACAATGTATCATATCGTTTACACTTATACTGTTTCACAAACATACCAAATTATTTACGCATTTCCGTTTTATTTCCCCCGCTTTTTTCT